AGCTGCATGGGACGTTATTCATAGAGCATGCATTTAAAAGAGTGCTTTTGACCTTGTTGATCTGTGCATTATCCGGTATATTATACACAATTATGTTCTTCTCGCGCACTACACGTTGATATACTTCAGTTGCAACGTAGTTTATAAGGTTTGCAGTTTGTGGTAACTTTCTAGGTGAAGTACTACTACTGCCAGTTTCACTAGGCAGTGCCAGTTTTGACATCTTAACTTCAAGCCCCCTAATTATAGAAAATAGTTCTTCGAATTTATCTTCACAACTAAGTGTAGAACAAAAAACTGGATTAGTGATGGGAGTAAGAATGTTTGCCGTGTGATTCTTATCGCAAGACGCTTTGCAGGTGTCTACGAGGCCTAGATCATTACATGTAGTATCACTGTGTATACCATCCATGATGTTGTTTACTACGCAAGCAAGTGAGGGGAGTTTAATGTCCGGACTTGACGTGTCTACCGCAGCAGACGTATATGTAGTTGTTAAATCAACAGATGTAGTGCTCTCACTTCCTGCAGGGCTACTTATTCTGTTTGGTTTGATTTTTTTACTGGGATGTGAAGCAGACAGTGGAGTTAGACGCTTAGTTTGGACCATTGGCATTTAGTACTAAGTTAAAATTCTTAATTATAAGAGAATGAGCAATGTGTCTGTAAGGTCCGTTTTAGAGTGTTGGGGATTTAAACTGTCTAGTTCTGTATGGAATTAACAGTTTATAGGAATAAGAATATAGAAATAGAATAATAAGATACCCTATACAAATACTCTAAATGCGAAGATGCTATAACAGTAGCACTTAGGTGGACACTATCTATAACGGATAATTTTAACCGTAAAAGTTATATTCTATGTAAGAATAGAACTAAATATTTAATACTATCGTCGAGAGACCTATTAAAAAGTCGCCTATGGAGTAAAAAAAGAATTGAGATATAACACGCGAAAAAGTAACAAAGCCTTTGAATTGTGCGCCACTCAAATAGGTTGTTCGAATGCCGATATTTTTGAGGATTCTTTGCATTGCCTCTGATGTACCGTTAATGCCCAGCTCTCGCTACGCTCGGCCACGCTGTTCTTTGAGTTTTCAGAAACGCTTAGTTATAACGGACGAAAAAACCAAAACACCGATCTGCCGTTTGATATTTCTGTATTGTTACACAACATATAAAAGGAATAAGCGAACTAAGGTCTGTAAACAAATATTACAATAATAATCGTTATATTACTTCTGACGATGTTTCACTCTTCTTTCTGAACAGCGACCGATGAGACGATGACTGTCGTATTCATGCCTCCGCGAAAATTGGGGAAGTTGATTTTGAGCAAACAACCAAGAATTGATCGTTCAATCTTCAACTCCATTGACACCCTCTTTTTTCTCTTTTTTATATTATCTTTTATAAATTCTCTAGGGTAGTTGTTTTCGAGTAGCATTTTGAATAGGACTTTTATTTCTTTACGCTGGTCCTCTGGTGCTGTTGTAAGTCTACGTATTCTATCTGCAAGACCTTGTATTAATCCTCGTTTTACCGAGAGTGGATGAGCTGAGTAATAATCAAGGAATCTTCCAGAATGTGTGGCTTTTCTATATATCGTTGTTTTTATGCTACCATCTGTCATTCTTTGTAGTTTGCAATCTAACATGGGCAGTTCTCCAATTTCATTCTCTAATTCCATAGTGAATTTTATTGAGTCGACGTGTCTGTTTATGTGTGAGAAAAGTTTCTCAGCATCGTTTTTTTCACTATTACTAGTGTGTCGTCTACATATCTCCACTAACATTTTAGCAATGATCTGAATGGTTTAAGGTCATTCTCCTCCCAATAATCCATGAATATGTCAGCTATAATTGGTGGGATAGGCGATCCCATAGCTACTCCCTCATTTTGTTGGTATATTTTTCCTTCGAATGTGAAATATGTTCTTGTCAGACAGAATTCTACCCCTTTTATTATTTCTTCTACGGATAACTGTGTTCTGTCTTTCAGGCCATTATCTTCATTTAGTTTCTCTTTCAGTGCAATCATAGCCATTTGAATGGGTATTTTCGTATAAAGACTGTTTACATCAAAGCTAACTAGTATTTCTTCCTCCTCTATTTTAGTGGTTTTTATTCGCCTCACTAATTCAAATGAATCTACTATTCATTGTGTGTAAACTATTATAATATAATTATACTTTGTTTGATCTAAACCACAATGCTCAAACTTTTTACTGATATTAACTCCGTGATTTCTTTGTTCAGCTTCTATACATATCGGATACAATAATGACTGGCGGAATCCAAGTGCATGGTCGGATTGTAGTTAATGAACAAGTATGGGGGTGAGAAACAAGCTAGGGTTCACAACAATTTGCTGATTAACTTAAAGGAAGTCACAAATGCCGGGGAGTGTCATGTGTCTCAGTGCTGTAAATCTACCTGAACAGCTAACCAAGCTAACCAGAGTAAACACATGACTCCACTTTTTGGCGAAATCACAGCGAGTGTCAGTGATCCCACTCAATTTTGACAACATGAAGCATAAAGAAACTAAATTAAAAATAACAGCATAGCATGTTAAATTTCCTGTAAATATAAGTGCGGAATCGGGCCCGTTCGATTCCACTTACAGTGTTACCATTCTGTGTATGGAATTTTTTGAGGACTTTGATCCAGTCGTGCGAACTATTTCTGGAAGAAGAGGAAGCTGTATATACCCAAAAAATCAACAGAGACGAATGGTGAAAAATGGAAACAGGCAGCAGTACCTACAGACTACTGAAAGTAGTGCTACGGAATGAAATGGAAAATATGTAGTTGTTAAATGATAAAATGTCTAAGACATGGGCACTAGACCTGACCAGCTCTCCTGCGGCGGAATTGAAGTGGAACGGGTCGTGAATAAATCAGCCGGGGAAAAGCGGGAAAACCAGATATTCTTCTGTTGGTGAGCTCTCTATAACCGTTCTCGCTAAGGACGTTGTTCACAAGCTGTATCAGAACGTACCTATGAATCTATACCACATAAACCCCTGTAGTTTTACAGTCGAATTCCGTTAAGTGATAGAGTGATCCGAATAACTGCAACCTGATGGAACCTCAACTGCTAAATCATGGCTGCTGAAAATAACGAATACCACATCACTCCTGTGCAAATACAACTGCATCGAAGCTTATGGTTTATATATGCGCATACCTTTTGAATTCACGTGACCCCCATATCATTTTAATTACCTGAGAATTTCTCTTTGGTCTTTAGTACCGGAATCTCTAGCGTCGGATTTCTTTGTGGCTACTGTAATTGGAAGTGCCTGCTTATGAGTCACTAATGTCGTCTCTGGGTTGAATTCTATAATTCCTCGAAATTAGATATTTCTCCTCACTGAGGAGCAGAAGTCACATACTTCATGCAATTCCTCCCCAAACTAATGGTTACATTCACAAGGCCACACCGGCTCTTCCAAAAAGATTACATTCCTGCACAGAATTCACGAGTTAAACAAGTAATTGAATACTTCTTCTCACAACACAGAAGGAACGCCAGTATCAAATGGGTTGAGGCCGATAGTCTCTTTCGGGAGGTTTCAAGAAGTATTCAGGCCTAGAAATACCATTCATAAGCCTTGTAACATTGGTAGTGCAGGCGAACAGTGTCATCGAGAAGAGCAGAATGATTTCAGATACCTGTTTATTTTGGTTTCGGACAAGTCAGCGAGGTCTGATAGAATTTGTACCTCATATCCAACAGAAACAAGAAGCATTTATGGTGAAATTCACCACGTCTATCACAGAGATTGAAAAGGTGCATTGGTACTCCGTAACTTCCAAAATAATAACGAGCTATTGGCATTAGACCATTTTATACGGAGCACTGAATATCGAACTAAAATTTCTGAAAGCTGCAGTCTGGAGATGAACTTCTGAAAGAGTTCAGTGGTGCCTATAGATCAGTAACCCTACTTGTCACATTTATTTTTGATTTGGAAGTAAAGTCACCTGATTTTGAGAGACAAGAGGGTTTTCTCAGTCAAAAATTAAACACTACCGTACGTGATATTTTAACCCCATTCAACATGTCAGGGAAACTGTGAGTGCAACATGGTTTTGTATATCAATGGGTTGTCTCTGCTCACCGTTTACTGCATTGTCTTATACGCATATAACTTGAAAATTTGGAGATAGTTGAAGGGCAACTGTGATACGCTCACGTTTCGAATGGACCTCTACTGATTTTCACAGTATTTCAGAGGAAAAATGCTCCCGATAAAAGTAGCATAACGCATCGGGGAAACAAGCATCAGCTCCTACGAATTAGAGGGAATAATAATCCCATCAATTCAAACTCACTAGGATTTCAGAGTCATAGTAAGTCATGATTTAAAAACCACAACACACTGTCGTGCGTTGGCTGTGCGTATTTTCAGATCCTTATGGTCAATTTGCAGAGCCTTTACTAGAATCACGAGAGATATGTTTGCCTCCTCATGTACATCCTTGGTGAGGTCAAGACTAAAAAATGTATCCAGGCAACCAGTCATTGTCTTATGGGAGACTCACATATTCTAGAAAAGGTTCAAAGGAAGGCAACACGTATGGTTCTCGGTATGAATAACTTATAATACGAGGAGAGACTAGACAGTCTAAATCTCTTCTCCCTATCAAACCGCAGCCAAAGAGGAAATTTAATTAATGTTTAAAATTTTAAATAATGACTATGGACCTGACTTATCCAATTTTTTCCTTCCCATCAGGTGTGAGAACCTTACAGAACACAGCAGGAGAGTTCAAAATCATATTGCTGTGGAGAACTGGTTCTCAAACTGAGTGCTAAACTCTTGGAACTGACTCACATTGGAAGTGATGACTGCAACCTCAACTGATTCATTCAAGAAGGTTTTGGACAGGCAAAAAAATTCATTAGAAAAAGATTAACATGGGCTTCAAGCCTTCTATCCTCAACGAATAAATTTGAAATCATTTGCAGGATCCATTGGATCTATTGAATCCAGAAGTTCTTTAAGTCCGTTCGTTTCGGCGGCAGTTCGCACGAATTTGGGCGTGGAAATGGTTCGCCAGACAAGGTCGGAGTGGAAGGCTGGTTATTTCAAAAAGCTAGCCAAGCATCTCTCTGAATTTGACAAGTGCTTTATCGTCAATGTCGACAATGTGCGATCAAAGCAGATGCAGCAAATTAGATTATCGTTACGTGGAAGCGCAGAGGTCGTCCTTGGCAAAAATACCTTAATGAGAAAAGTTATTCAAAGTCAAATCGAACGTAATAGCACTTTGGATAAGTTGTTACCACATATACGTGAGAACGTTGGATTCGTCTTTACTAATGGGGACTTGTGTGACATTCGAGAAAAGATAGAGAATAATCGCGTTGAGGCCCCAGCTAAAGCAGGAGCAATCGCCCCATGTGACGTCATTGTACCTGCCCAAAACACCGGCTTGGGACCTGAAAAGACAGCATTCTTTCAGGCTCTCAGTATTCCTACGAAGATCGCAAGAGGAGCTATCGAAATACTCAACGATGTACACCTGGTGCATAAGGATACAAAAGTTGGTCCTAGTGAGGCTACTCTGTTGGGAATGTTGAAGATTCATCCATTTACTTATGGACTGGTGATAAAACAGGTAACACTTCATTATGTTCTATATTTTTGAAGGTATTCGACCAAGGATGTGTATATGATCCTGCAGTTCTAGACATCACCCCTGAGATGATCACTGAAAAAATTGTCGCTGGTGTACAAAACATAGCATGCTTGAGTTTGGCTCTAGGTTACACTACCTTAGCCAGTATTCCTCATGTACTTGCAAATGCTTTCAAGAATATGTTGGCCATAGCCGTAATGACGGATTATACGTTCAAAGAAGCTGAACAAGTAAGTGCGATTGACATGTTCTGCAATTTGTTAGCTTGTTGACATTCTCAATACGTGAGGCGTGTTTATTTCATCTGATGCCTGATTTTGGTTCATATATATTAAATCGAAACTAGCATGTTTTAGACTGGAGATGTCGTTTTCGGTTACGACTCTACAATTCATTAGTTCTAAATCTGTCCAACGGATCCCACTTAGCACCTGTGTAGAACTACATAGCCTCGTCTCGTGAGTGTGACTTGTAGCTTGATACATGAAGCCTGTCCTAGTGAATTCAGCGTAACCAGTCATTTTCCATGACTATAAAGCATTTTCCCTTAAGATTTTAATGTGATGAGAACGAACTAAAGTGTATTCGTTGTTATTCGGTCTGCCACAGGATCGTAACGTAGGACATTTGCATTAACCTTGCGAAACCTGGTTTTATCAGACCTCGGGTGGGAAGTCGGCCGACATTAAGGCTCGAAGCAGTTGTCCGCTGGGCTCTGCGGCCACGCAACGCTGTTTTTAAACGTTCCAAGAGAATAATGTAAAAATCTTACAAGGTCCTGCATTCAACTAATCAGCATTATTTTCTTTTTTCAGATCAAGGAATATATTGCAGACCCTACGAAGTTTGCTGCCGCAGCTGCACCTGTCGCTGCGGCTGCCCCAACTGTAGCAGCGAAGGTTGAAGAAAAAGCCGCTCCTGTAGCCCAGTCCTCTGAAGAAAGCGAAGATGATTTAGGATTCAGTTTGTTCGACTGATCTAATAAATGACTTGAAAGTGGTATTTTTCTCATTATTCTGACTAGCTACTCGAGTTCTGAGTTAACGAGCGACATATCAATGGACATTAGTCTTGTGGGTTAGTATTCTAATGTCAGTGAATTAAGGTTTCATGTCACGGGAGAGATGTTTAGCATGCGGCATGTGATGAACAGCATGTATATGTGTGGTCATAGTGCGTCCAACGTATCCCCCACCAACATATACCAGGTGGTCTCCGAGCTATCTTATCTCATATGAATGCATGTAGTTGAAGCAACTTCTTTTTATTCTCCATATACGTTGACAAACCCGAGTATGAAATTGTTGGCTGTTCGTGTTTGAGTTTCAGATTAAGACGTCCGCAGTCAGTGCATTAGGGACGTAATTCTTCCCAACCGATTTAACTATGGATGACATTCTTCACACGTCTTTGGAACGAGTGTTTCATTTGTAGGCATATTTCACACAAATTTTATATCTTCAGTAGCATCTGATACAGCCAGCCTATTTGAATCACTTCCACTCAGTGAGCAATTAACGCTGATAAACGTCTCATTTGATTTGTGCTTTGACATTTAGATTCAAGTGGAAATGACTGATTCATATGGCTGTATTTACTTCTAAAAACGAATAGTCAGAATTTGTTGAAGGCTTGCATGTGTTTGAGTGGGTGCGTCGGTACTCGTAATAGTGCACGAGTAGTGATATTCAATTAGAGTGGCGACACACTGGAATTCGAGTCACTTTAACCACGACACGATTGTTGTTTGTGTACGACGACAGATTGAGATATTAGTGATTGCTTAGTTATGGATTCGGTCAGTTGAGTTTCTTATACAAACTGAGTTGAGAAGCCTTCATACAGATGGTTCTTCATTAGCTGTGAGTGTCATCGGGACAGACAGCCAAGTGATCAAGTTCTGCACATGCATATCAAACGCTAGACCCTGAGGAGTGTCAGTGAAGCCGGATGAGATATTACTAGTGGTGTGTGTGTGTGATGACTAATAACTAGGCTGACAGACTGCAATTGAGACATGAGAGTCAGACGCGATTATGTGGTGTATAGTCTGCGAAGAAAGAAGAAAAATCCTATTGTGATATGGACAGAGGAGAGTGGATGATGATACGACGCCTTATTGGAGGAAGCTAAAGAAGAATGAATTGAGGAGAAGCGAGCCAAGTTGTTGATGTATGCAGATGGAGATGGAGATGAAGGGTTACTGGAATAGTTGTGAACGTTCACACGCCTGATGGCTAGCAGGACCAATTGTGTGCGAAGTAATGATACAATCTGATGAAAGACACTTTGAACTCGTGACCGTCTGGTTGAGTACTCTAGTAAGTGAAGTGGTCAGCGACAGCTAAACTATTGCTAATCGTCAATATAGAGACGCCTAGTCAGTCTACATTTACTCTGGCTTCACACTTCCCTGTGCTCACAGCTAGTGGTAATGTGTTTCCGTGTATAAATTAACTAGACGGGAGTTCTCTAGATCCACTAGTCCATTTTTAATCGTTTCCTGATTGTCAGAAATGTTATTTAATAGTGTTAATACAAGCGAGCGGAGATAGTGCTAGCTAGGCTTGTGGAAGATGAGGAGCCTAGTTGTGTTCAGATAGCAGTTAGGCTACTTCTAATTAAAATATTGAGTATTCCAGAGTTTACCAGTTGTTGTCGTGTTGCGTCTAATTAGGTGCAGGCGAAGTCCTGCATTTACCAGTGTGTGGTCACAGTTCAACGTTAGGGATGCATTAGATGCATTCACACGTCATTCGTAGCATGCTTTCACTTTTCTTCGCTTCCTTTTCTATTCTTCTGTCTCATAATATTCTACGATATTAATATGTGTGTAAACCTTGGGCACTGTGGGAGTACGTAATTCCATATTAGTTTGTTGATAGGATTATGAACAATAAATTTTGTTCTCAACGTGTCACCCAGTAAATAATACTATTTCACTGTGTGATAGATATATCTGAAAACAAACTAATTCTACGATATTGACTGTTTGATTTTGATTTCCTTGCATATTGAGGCATAGTTTATCATCGACACGTAACTGTTCTTCCTGAGACTGAGTTTTCAACGTAGAACTCTGCAGAAGAGTACAGCAGTTCAAGTTGTCACACTCCACATAGCACACAAAGGTGACGAAAGAATAAGTAGGAATTCAAAGGAACTATATTGAACGGAAATGTACAGGAGAAAGGATGAGTATAGGGAGAATAGTGGGAATGTGATGGATCTAGAAGTGGACAAAGCGTGAATGTGTCTGAGTGATTGACAACGATTTTGAGCCATGTCAGTGAGAACAGTGTGCATCCATTGGTTGTTCACGTCTCGAGGATCCCAGCCAGGTGATCTACACCCGCCTATGTGTCTCAAACCAACAGTCAAAGACTTCATGGATTGATTCCAGGTTTTGATTTGACCACTTCTAGTTGTTTTCCAGCCTAGTCCTATGTCAGCTAAGAATTAGTCGACTAGGAAGCAGGTGGCTTGGCGTCCATTGATTCTCCCTGCTTACCTAACACTCTACGCCTGACTTCAGTATTACTCACGATATTATACCACTCAAGACGAGAGGTAGAGCGTGAACACCTATGGTGAAACGAAGAGTGTTGGTCTCTTCAAGTCTTCCACTCTCATCGGTCATGACTCATAGCAAGACATGCGTGCATGCATGCACACATACATGCTGGTAGCCAGCCAGGAAAGCATAACGAAGGAAGGAGTGGAATGGTGCACAGTACACACGTCCTCTGATCCATAGCCGTATGTCGCGTCTACACCAGAGATGACGCAAGTGGCTGGCAAATCCCACACGAGTCTTTTGTATATGTGCTGAGATTTCATCTGCAGTCAGTGCATTAGGGACGTAATTCTTCCCAACCGATTTAACTATGGATGACATTCTTCACACGTCTTTGGAACGAGTGTTTCATTTGTAGGCATATTTCACATAAATTTTATATCTTCAGTAGCATCTGATACAGCCAGCCTATTTGAATCACTTCCACTCAGTGAGCAATTAACGCTGATAAACGTCTCATTTGATTTGTGCTTTGACATTTAGATTCAAGTGGAAATGACTGATTCATATGGCTGTATTTACTTCTAAAAACGAATAGTCAGAATTTGTTGAAGGCTTGCATGTGTTTGAGTGGGTGCGTCGGTACTCGTAATAGTGCACGAGTAGTGATATTCAATTAGAGTGGCGACACACTGGAATTCGAGTCACTTTAACCACGACACGATTCTTGTTTGTGTACGACGACAGATTGAGATATTAGTGATTGCTTAGTTATGGATTCGGTCAGTTGAGTTTCTTATACAAACTGAGTTGAGAAGCCTTCATACAGATGGTTCTTCATTAGCTGTGAGTGTCATCGGGACAGACAGCCAAGTGATCAAGTTCTGCACATGCATATCAAACGCTAGACCCTGAGGAGTGTCAGTGAAGCCGGATGAGATATTACTAGTGGTGTGTGTGTGTGATGACTAATAACTAGGCTGACAGACTGCAATTGAGACATGAGAGTCAGACGCGATTATGTGGTGTATAGTCTGCGAAGAAAGAAGAAAAATCCTATTGTGATATGGACAGAGGAGAGTGGATGATGATACGACGCCTTATTGGAGGAAGCTAAAGAAGAATGAATTGAGGAGAAGCGAGCCAAGTTGTTGATGTATGCAGATGGAGATGGAGATGAAGGGTTACTGGAATAGTTGTGAACGTTCACACGCCTGATGGCTAGCAGGACCAATTGTGTGCGAAGTAATGATACAATCTGATGAAAGACACTTTGAACTCGTGACCGTCTGGTTGAGTACTCTAGTAAGTGAAGTGGTCAGCGACAGCTAAACTATTGCTAATCGTCAATATAGAGACGCCTAGTCAGTCTACATTTACTCTGGCTTCACACTTCCCTGTGCTCACAGCTAGTGGTAATGTGTTTCCGTGTATAAATTAACTAGACGGGAGTTCTCTAGATCCACTAGTCCATTTTTAATCGTTTCCTGATTGTCAGAAATGTTATTTAATAGTGTTAATACAAGCGAGCGGAGATAGTGCTAGCTAGGCTTGTGGAAGATGAGGAGCCTAGTTGTGTTCAGATAGCAGTTAGGCTACTTCAATTAAAATATTGAGTATTCCAGAGTTTACCAGTTGTTGTCGTGTTGCGTCTAATTAGGTGCAGGCGAAGTCCTGCATTTACCAGTGTGTGGTCACAGTTCAACGTTAGGGATGCATTAGATGCATTCACACGTCATTCGTAGCATGCTTTCACTTTTCTTCGCTTCCTTTTCTATTCTTCTGTCTCATAATATTCTACGATATTAATATGTGTGTAAACCTTGGGCACTGTGGGAGTACGTAATTCCATATTAGTTTGTTGATAGGATTATGAACAATAAATTTTGTTCTCAACGTGTCACCCAGTAAATAATACTATTTCACTGTGTGATAGATATATCTGAAAACAAACTAATTCTACGATATTGACTGTTTGATTTTGATTTCCTTGCATATTGAGGCATAGTTTATCATCGACACGTAACTGTTCTTCCTGAGACTGAGTTTTCAACGTAGAACTCTGCAGAAGAGTACAGCAGTTCAAGTTGTCACACTCCACATAGCACACAAAGGTGACGAAAGAATAAGTAGGAATTCAAAGGAACTATATTGAACGGAAATGTACAGGAGAAAGGATGAGTATAGGGAGAATAGTGGGAATGTGATGGATCTAGAAGTGGACAAAGCGTGAATGTGTCTGAGTGATTGACAACGATTTTGAGCCATGTCAGTGAGAACAGTGTGCATCCATTGGTTGTTCACGTCTCGAGGATCCCAGCCAGGTGATCTACACCCGCCTATGTGTCTCAAACCAACAGTCAAAGACTTCATGGATTGATTCCAGGTTTTGATTTGACCACTTCTAGTTGTTTTCCAGCCTAGTCCTATGTCAGCTAAGAATTAGTCGACTAGGAAGCAGGTGGCTTGGCGTCCATTGATTCT